CCTAGCCACTAGATTGGTACATGATGTGTGGCCAAGATTTAACTCTTCATTTAAATAATAATTCTTTATTTTTATTACTTAATGCTTTATTTTTATTATTTTAGTTATTTAGATATTATTTTGACAATTGACCATTGACTTCGGCGTTGACTGTTGACTTCCGGCGTTGACCGTTGACTTCCGGCGAAAAACGTTGACTTCCGGCGTTGACCGTTGACTTCCGTCGTTGACTTCGGCGTTGACCGTTGACCCCTATTCTACATTTTGTATGAAGTAAATATGCATACAGTACTATGCACTTAGTATGAACTAAATCTGCATAAGAAATGAGTTATATATGTCATCCTTATAAACTAAATATGCAACAATAATATCAACTATGTATGCACTGTTTATGTACTAAATATGCACATTTTACTAACTAAATATGCATCACGAATGAACTAAATATGCAACGAAAATATGCAATAAAATATACATTTTATACAATTAACTTACATATAATAATTAATGATTTTTTATTATATAATTAATTTTAATTTTAAATTGATTAATAACACAAATAAATTGTTATGATTGGATCTCAAAATAAAATAGGTATGCACTGTTCATGAACTAAATATGCATTTCGTAAGAACTAAATATGTATCATGAATAAACTAAATATGCATCATAAATTAACTATATAAATATCGTTATATATTTAATTTAAATATAACAAGTATGCATTTTGTATTAACTAAACATGCATCATAAATTACTTAAATATTCACAATAAATTGACTAAATATGCATCATAAATTAACTATATAAAATGTACATTTTATTGCATATTTTTTCGCTGCATATTTAGTTCATTCATGATGCATATTTAGTTCATAACAGATGCATATTTAGTTAATAACACAAATAATTTTTATTATATAATTAATTTTAATTTTAAATTGATTAATAACACAAATAAATTGTTATGATTGGATCTCAAATAAAATAGGTATGCATTGTTCATGAACTAAATATGCATTTCGTAAGAACTAAATATGTACCATGAATTAAGTAAATATGCATAATAAATTAATTATATAAATATTATTATATATTTAATTTAAATATAACAAGTATGCATTTCGTATTAACTAAATATGCATCATAAATTACCCAAATATTCATAATAAATTAATTAAATATGCATCATAAATTACCTATATAAAATGTACATTTTTATTGCATATTTTTCGCAGCATATTTAGTTCATTCATGATGCATATTTAGTTCATAACAGATGCATATTTAGTTCATAACAGGTGCATACTAGTTGATATTCTTGGTGCATATTTAGTT